GCGGAAAGAAGCAAAGGGAATAACGAAAATCATAGAACAAACTAAAAGCATGGAAATTACGTATCGCGATTACGAGTACATGCGTAATTTCAGTAATCAGCGCAAGCACCGTTTTCGTGCAAAAAATGTTACTAGAATCGTGGACGATGTAATAACGTGCAATTTACCTTCGTACGATGGCAAACACTGTTGTTACACGTACAGCGTTTAACCACTCAACGAGCCGTTTATTCCGATAAAATTTTTCTTCGTTGTACCATTAGCCTGCAGGAGAAGGTTGACGTTGCTTAAAAAGATATTATCTGTTTTCAATTTGATAAACCAACAGCTACTTGGTCAGTCACGAAAGAGAAAATTTTCATGCATAAGCATGTATAAGTATGTATGAGACATTTTGAAATTTTATTTTTATCGTAACGAGCTACGGCCATCAGGATTAATAATAATAAAGTTTAAAGCCAATTTGAAAATCTATACATCTAAAAGTCACAGCAAACATTGCAAACATACGCTTGGTAAGAAGTCAGTGTATGTGTGCAATATACGTATGTATATGTAGGATATGAGCCTCTCAGGTGATCTGAAGTTGATCAACTCCACCTTTTATTTTCTTTTTGTTTTTAAAATTTTTCAAATGCATCATTCGTTGTATAGGTATGTAATTAATATTCAATTTGAAAGTTCATTTATAACGAGAAGATAACACGGTTAATAGCAAAGTACAAGGAGAGCTTGAACTCGCCACTTTTTTCTGCTTCAATTTACAAAGTTACGTAGTGGCTGTGCCTTCTGAATGGCTTCTAAACGACTCGATTATCGCTAAAGATAGCCCGATTAAATATTAATATCGTTAATACGATGAATAATTAACTGTGCAAATATCTGGATGATCCGCGCGAAGTTTATAATCACGTTAAATATCCTATAACTTTCGTACACGTTTTCAGATTGATTCGAAATTATACGAGTACAAACATCTACAAATGTTTCACACAGGACGCGTAATATGTTTGTAAGAAGATTCTGCAAGTGTTTGTGTGCATTTGTGAACACGGGAACAAAGATTAGATAGTTATAATCGGAGGAAAAATGGCAACGATACGAGACAGAAAAGAAAAACTCGCGACAGTCGAGGAAAATAACAATTTTTCAGATTCTCCCCGTG